ATTTGCCGGTGATCTTAAGTGGTGGACATTATCAGCATGTTCTATCATCTAGAAAGGTATTGTGAGATGGTATTCTCTGAGTATTACACCTACTAGGGTTGTGCAGTACAGCAGCCCAGTTGTAGGAGGTGAGGATTCAATGAGCTAGTGTGGGAAAATTCTAATGATTCCCAAAACCTTTGCCCAGTTCCTCTGCTGTATTGAAGAACAATCACAAGGCCGCTGTGGACAATGGCGGAAGTCAGCCAGTGCACAGCGGCTGCACAAGACCGGTAACTGAGCTATTGGGAGCCTGCAGCAGGCAGAGCACACAGCACAGTTCTCTGCTTATGGAATCCTTTTATAGCCCTCTAAAGTAACTCCACCTACTACCTTCATTGTGGGTATGAGTAAGATGAGGCCTGGGGAGGGATCCAGCCACAGGAGAGGCTTGCAGAAAACAATGGTTAACAATTTGTTGATTGCTTACTATTAACAGGCACTGAGTTAAGTACTGCACATGCATTAACTCTTTTGATCCTTCTAATAACCCTATTTCATAGGTGAGGAAACTCAGGTTAAGTAAAGTGCATGTTTAGGAATAATTTAGTAAGAAATTAAAATTACTGACCAAAGACAAAACTGGGCCTGTGGCTCTGGAAACTGTTGAAAGGGTAGATGGTGCTCAGAGTATATCATGAGCATATCACTTGTTCATGGCATGTAAGGACAGATCTAGGATTTGAACCCCATGGGCCAAGCTTGGCCTCCTCTCCATTTGAAATATACCTTCCTCCTAAAATGCCCTAAACTAGCCCAGGTTGGGAACCAGGCAAATGGAATTAGGATTTGACAGCTCTCGTGGTAATGTCTGTGATGTCCTGGCCTACTGCCCTACTCTGATGCCGCCTCACCTGTAGGCAGACAGCTTTGCCCATCCCCATGCAGCTCTATGCTGCCCACAGGCTAATGAAGCCCATCCCCGCAGTGATAACCATGAGCCTGAATATATATTCAGGATCCCTCTTTTCTGCAGTGTCTGGAGGCTGCACAGTCCCCACTGCCAGGGTCTTCCTCCCAAGGAGGGTTCTGCCTTCCAGAAGTAAGCAATCAATTTCTGGCTGCTGGCTCCTCTTGAAAGCATCTCCCAGGCCCTGAGACACAAGGCCTTTGCAGCTTTCTGTTTACAGTGTTTAGCTGTGTGCTGCACAACTGCATTGAGGGTAACAAGCTTTCTCATAGTGGCAGGCCCAGCTCATGCCCTCATCCTCCTCTGATAGCATCTGACTAGTTCATGGCTACTTTCAGCTCTTGTGTCCAGCTGGCTCTGCATTTGCCTGAGAGGTGGCCCACAGCAGGCTGTGTACCTGAAGGCTGTGTGAGCTTCCTCCCCAAGATGGGGAAGATTGTCCCTGAGCTGCTACAGGAGAGCCACCTCCACAGCTGGGGATCCATCCCCCACTCTGCTTCCCAACAGCTTTCAAGAGCACACTTGGCCTTGAAAAAGCCCTTGTCGCCCTGTTAGGTTTGTCCTGACCATACTCCAGTCATTGGCCACCAGCTGCTCTCTCGCTATGAAGAGAAAACACAGTTATATCTTTTCATAAGTCCCAGGAAACTCAGGTTCTAGAGGAGTCTATGAATTGCTCTTAAAATGCCTGCTCTCCTGATTTCCCATCTACCAGATAGGGATCCAGAACAATGAAGAACAATGAATGTCAAGTGTGGAAGAGCCTTAGAGGTGCCTCTTATACTAATGGTCTATTTGCCTTTTAATAATGGCAGCAAACACAGTGCTTTTCCTGATGTTTCATAAAGCCCATTTTACCTTCACAAGTGGTCCTAGAAAATGAATGTTCTTCCTGTCCCGAGGAAGCCAAGGTACCCATGAGCTAAGCAACTTGACAAGATCATTGCACAGCTGCACAGTGAGTGGCAGAGTTTCAGCTTCCACAACCTAAACTAGCAGGCCAGACTTGTCCTCTGCAGAGAATGTTTCAAGAGACTGAAGAGAAGTCAGGTGTCCTGGTCACTAGTTACTTGGCAAAGAAGGATGCTCTCCTATCTCTAGGGAATGTGTAAGAAGACCGGTTTTACAAGTCAGGTATGATGGTGCACACCTGTAATGCCAGCACTCAGGAGGCTGAGGCAGGAGGATTGTTTGCAAATTCAAGACCAGCCTGGGCTACAAAGTGAGCTCCAGACCACCCTGAACTACAGAGCGAGACCTGGTCTCATAAAAAAAATAGGTCTAGTTTTACAGAGCTAGAGTTTGAATGAGTCCCTACTACATGCCAGGTACTGTGCTAAGCAATTTGTCAGGCTTATTCTTCACAAAAGTGCTGAAGTGACCACTGTTGGGATTCCTGGTATGTATAGGAGGAAAAAGAAATATGAAAGTAAGTCAACAGGGATCCCATGATGTAGTCGTTTAAAATTAGTGATAGTTTACCATGATGATCATGGACTAGAGTCATGCTGATTACATCTTATCTGTTTACAAAATGGCAAAAAAAAATAGTCACTGTCTGTGGGTGCTCAGTATTATTCCTTGATTCTCACAACAACCCAAAGGATAAATAATATTATCCCTATTTTTCAAATGAAGAAACTCATATTACCAAAGGGAACTTGGGAAGAAACACAGTAAATATTTAGATATGCCAGATTCCAAAGTCCAAGTCCTTTTGACAGCTTTACTCTAAGGATACAAATGTGCTTGCCTTATCTCTGGGCCTCACATTCTGTGGACTGAAACTGAAAATGGGCAAGGTGATGTTCTATTAGCCCACAGGAATTCCAAATCTGGGCTTCTCTATCACCAAATTCGTTTCCCATCTTAGAAAACAAATACCCAAGTAATAATGTAGGTTTTTTTTTCATATGCACTGAATTCCCTGGCAAAAGTTACCAGACTCAGTTCTAACCCACAGCCATGAAGGAAATGGAGGCTGCACAAAGGACTCTCTGAACCTGCTCGTGAGCAGTGTGGTGCATCTTGGAGGGCAGAGAGATCCTGAAAGTCTGGTGGGTTGGAGGGGGAAGCTCAGAAGGCATGAGGGGAAGCAGGGAGAGCCAGAGAGGTGGCTGGGGCAGTAAGAGAATCAGTGGAGATGTCACACGTTCTCGGGGCTCTCACTTATCTTCCTAAAGCTTTATGGGGGAGCTGGTTCCACTTTGGGCATATTATTTCAACAGCCCTAAATGCAGGCTGTCAAAGTTCATAACTGTTTTAAGGATGGTTCTAAGAACCTGTCATCCACTTAGGGATCTCTTTCTAAAATCCATAGCAGTATCTTTTAAAAAATTAGCATTAGATATAAAAACTAGCAAAATACAACTAAGATCTGTGTTTGAATCAGTGGCATTGAACAGTGTAAATTCCACAATGTTTTGTCCATGGTTGACTGTTATATAAGATACTGTCCTTGAGGGCCAGGGATTTAGCTCAATGGCTCAAGCACTTGCCTAGTAAGTGCAAGGTTGTGAGTTCAACCCCTGGTATAAAAGAAAAAAAAAAAAGACTTTTTCCTTGGGAGAAGCTTAGGGAAGGGGATATGAGAATTTTTTTTGATTCTTACCATTCATGTGAGTCTTAAGTTTCAAAATGAAAATTTAGCAAGTATATAGCTCAGTGGCACAGTGCCTGCCTGGAAAGTTTGAAGTCATGAATTTGGGTACTACAGTCATGTTAATTACAAAGACAAAATATTTTTAAAAGAAACCTGAGATATAACTTCTCTGATAGTGATAACTCTGTTGTAGAATAAACCTCCCATGTTACTTTAGCTGCCAAGAGTCTCATAATAAAATCTGAAACTCATTCTAGAAATACCTTGGCTGCTCAGTGGCAAAAGCACCTGTCTGGCAAGTGCAAGGTCCTGAGTTCAGTTCCTGGTACCAGAAAGAAAGAAAGAAAGGAAGGAAGGAAGGAAGGAAGGAAGGAAGGAAGAAAGGAAGAAAGATCTTGGTTATATTTCCCTATATATTTATGTTTTCTCTAAATGTTGACTTTCTATACTTATTTAACATTTCCTGTCTCCTGAATTTTTCTCCTTATTTTTATCATATTATCATTGTTTATATAATTCTTATGAGAGACTTTAAGTCCTTTATGGAAAGAAACAGAATATAAATACGTAAACCTTGTGGAACCTCTCTGCCTATGAGGTTGTTGACACTTCACTCAGCAGCAGCTCAAACAGCAGACTGGCTCAAACAGCAGCTGACTCTGTACAAACCTGAAACAAAACCAATGTCAGTCATCCTACTCATGCAAAAAAGAGGGAGCCAGTGAGGCTCAGAGAGCAACTGGTGAGCAGCACCATGCAACCCCACCCCCACGTATCCAGTCCCAGGCTAACTGAGCAGAAAGCACAGGAAGGCCCTGAAGATGGAATACCCAGCTCTGCCACTCTTCAGTGAGTCTTGTCTCCTTTCTGAGCCTCAGTTTCTTCATCTGGAAATGGCGGGTAGGTAGGGTGAACATGCAAAGGGGTCTAACATGTTGTTGACACTACAAATGTTTTAACCTTTGTCCCTTCTTTAATGATAACACTCGTTGTGTGTCAGGTGCTGTGTTAGATGATAGGAATATACAAACAAATTGCTGTCCTGCCTTTGAACTGACAAAGGTAAGTAAGTGTTCATAGATCTGGCAACGTGCATGATCCTATTCAAGCCTCACAGAAGCTTTGTGATATTGCTTAATTTTTCTCTTTACAGATGGGGACAGTTATCTGCTGAGTGGTGCCAGTGTGTGGTGTCTCTCAAGTGTGACAAGCAGGGTGTGGATTGCATATGGCAAAGGAACTCTAGAGATATGAGGGGTGGGAGCTAGTGCATGGACCCCTGTAGGGTATGTATGGGTTTCTTTACATGGAGTTTTTAACAAATCAAGAAGGTCTGGTTAGGGAGGAGCAGATTGACTGGAACAGCGCCTTTGCCTGTGGGGTGCGATAGAGGATGCCGAGCACCTCCTACAGCTGTTTCCTCACAGCTCCCCGATCTCCTTCCTGCAGGTGTCTTCAGCAGCAGCTGGGGGACAGCCTGCCCACTGCTAGCATCATCCTCTGTTTCCATGATGAGGCCTGGTCCACCCTTTTGAGGACGGTGCACAGCATCCTTAATACGGCACCCACGGCCTTCCTGAAGGAAATTGTCCTTGTGGATGACCTCAGCAAGCAAGGTAGCTGTTGGTGTCCTTCATGCTCCCTGGGGTGGGCCTATGCCCCTGTGGTTGTCAGACCCATGCTAAAAATAAAGGTTTGGAACCTATTTGAGGAAAGGTTCCCCAGATGCAGACCTCCAAAATGAGAACCACGTGCAGGTAACTAATTAACAAAAAGCATCCCTGGGAAACCAGTAAGACAGTGGGGGAAGTAAGGCAGAAAAGAGAAGAAGCCAAGCAAGAGGGAGAACCCAGGCAGGTCTTGTGAGGAGTCGCTTCAGTCTGACCCTGCTGGGCTCTTTCAGGCCCCACTTCCACACAGTCCAGAGAGCCCCTCCCCAAGACACTTCCCAGTACAAGAGGATAACTGTTTTATTACCCTCTTGTTCGTTGCCTCCTGAGCCCATGGCCGAGCACTTTACAGTTTGTTGTTTAGACCAACCCACCTCCTGTCCAGACAGGAAAATCACTCAGAAAAAAACACATGATCAGAGCTAGCCCAGAACCCAGAGTGCTGAATCTGTTTCCTCTGACAGGAACTCACTACTGGGAACATCTCAAGATGAAAGAGGAGACAGAGATGTCTGCTGCCTGACTTCAAAGTCAATAGTTCTCAACCTTAGCTGCCTCAGAATCATGTGGAAGTCTTGTTAGAACTCTGATTCCTGGGCAAACCCAGAGTTTCTGGAGTCTGAGGTTGGGCCTAAGACTTTGAATTACTAACAAACACAGCTAGTGTTAATGCTATGGGCTGGTGGCCCACACTTTGAGAACAACTGCCCTAGTTTTTGGCTTGGAGCCCAAGCCCCACATTTTTGTTTCAACTAAGTGACTTTTAAGAGGCCTCCTCTGGCTTCATGGGAAAATGCAAATACTGGGAGGGAAGCTGAGCGTTTTCAAGCTCTATAAAGCATGTTTCTAATGGGAACAACAGAGGATGAGATAGGATAAGGAAAGACTTTCATTTGTTCTTTTTAAAGTTCTCCTGTTGGGAGTTTTATCAGCCTGGCTAAGACAAAAAGCCAGAATAATCTGAGGTTCTGCAAGTGCAAGTGTCTCCTGAGACACACAAGCTACTATTGGGTAAGACTGATCACAGTTGCTGGGCGGGCAGGCTGGGCTGGGATAGCTGGAATAAATGCCCCGAGATACAGCAAGCCCCTGGCTGGGGCTGGTGCACACCTGTGATCCTTCCCACCAGTCTCTCAGGAGCACGGGAAGCAGAACAGCTGGTACCTGAAATGAGCTGCCTCTGCTATGTTCAGCTCCTTGGACCCTACCAGAGGGTGCCTGGATTCTAGGCTCAGCCGCTAAGCTGCTACCTCCTGTCCAGCTCTCCTGTGCTCTCCACCATTAGGCTGGCTCTCCAGCCAGTGGCCCCACATTTCCTGCTGCAAGGCCTTTCCCACAACTTGAGGTGCAACTGGCTCCATTTATCCCCGAGTTACCTCTCTCAGACACAGAGCTCAGACAAAGGCCAGTACCACACACATTGTTCTCCTTTATTCCTCATGGGCACCCTGAGTGCCAAGCTCACCAGCCTTACTTTACACATCAGAGAAACTGAGATGCACAAAGCTGCCACAAGGTGCAAGAGCCACCCCAAGTTGCACTCAGGTTTGGTTGTGACAGCATGGCAGAGTCATCTTAGTAAGCCTCAGGCTATTCATCTTAGTGATAACTTCCACACTGGATGGTTAAATGAGAAAATGCATAGGATGCCTAGCCCATGATAGACTGGCAAATGGAATTCATTTCTATTGCTCTTTTAGGGGTTGAGGATCTTACTGGCTCCTTCTCAGCACTCTACCCCAAGGCATGTAGTCTTAGATGCTTCAAAAACTCTGAGAGGCTAAAACTGGCTTACAGTCTGGAAGTTTTTCCTTGATCTTTCCTGGAAGCCTGTAGGTTGGCAATACTGGACTGGTATGGCAGTTACGCAGCATACAGACCCAGCTCCTCTGTTTCCCATTTAGCCATGCTTATCACATAGTTTTGATCTCACAATCACAATGGGGCTGCTCTACCTCCGGCATTGCATGCATATTACAGAAAGAAAGGAGTGAGAGCAGATACCAGTTAAGTTTGTTGTTATAGAAAGAAAATATCAGTTAAAACAAGACTTTCCCAGAGTCTTCTCATTTATTATCTTTCTACAGAGCATCTGCCACAGAGAAAATTTTGGGAAGCAGGTACTTTAAGCTGCCCTAAACAGAATCAAAGTTCTGTTACAGAAGTGGAAGGGAGAATATTCATTCTCCCTTAGAGAAAGTGATTAACAGTGTTCAGTTCAGTAGATTCATAAAGGGCTGGTTCTCAGATGTGCAGATTCAGAAATGTTAATTGCTTGACTAATAAAGTATCTTGTCTAGGGAGTGGACTGGAATGGATAACTCAGCTGAAAAGTACTTACTGTGAAGTAGAAAAGCAGCCCACTTTCTCCTGAGAGATGTGGCAGTCAAGAGACTGGGAGTCACCTAGTCAAGGATCTGGAGATCTTTATTCTGCTGCTCTGGCCATGGTTTCCCCTGTGGAAAACCTGTGATAGTCAGAAGAAAGCTCTCAGGGAAAGAGTCCCAGGAATCTGGTGGGGACTTCTGGGTGAGGCTGACAGGCCTCTGCCCGCTCTGCACCTGCCTAGAGATTCAACTCTCAAAGCAACCCAGCCACTGCGGTTCAGTCAGGACTGCCTCTAGGCTAAGGCAATGAGGAAAATCCTCCCTCTTTGCTCAGCTCTGCTAACACACACGTACTGAGCACTGGCTGCAGCAGAGATTCGTGAGGTACAGTCCTCACCCTGGAGAGATCTTAGTGGGCTGGGCTCCCCATTTACAAGGATCTATGGAAACCTCTCCTTTTCTGTGGGTACATTATTCCTTGCACCCCACTGGCTTGTTCCTGGTGACATGTGAGTGCCACAGCACATACACACATCCACACACACACAGGGTTAGGTTTTTCCTATTTTATGCACAGACCTAATATGTGTTTCTCATCCTTTCCAACTCCTTCTTCAGCCCCTTCATTGCCCTTCCCCTCTGGAACCAGTCTTGCTAAAATGTACAGACTCTTGGTCTCGGGTTTTGGTATGTCCCACTTCCTGCCTGTCATCCTTTGCCTTGCAGACTCACCCTGCCCCTGCAATGGGACCCCTTTAGCCAGTGCTGCACTGACTTACCAACTGCCAGACTTAATGACCTTTTAGCATTTAACTTCCTTGATCACTGTTTTAGCTTGGGTTTCCTGGAAGTGGATCTTGAGACAGGTATTCTGGAGCATACACTATTTTTAGGGGATGTGTTCTAGGAGACCACCAGCAAGTTCTATTCTCTCGAAGTTCTGCATACAATCAGTCCCTCCTGGGTTCTAGTGGACAGCATCATGACTTATCCAAACAAAGGAAGCATCTTACCTCTGAGCAACAACCACACTATAATAATGCACTTGAGTTTTGGACCCCTTGGGCTCATCATGGGTTCTAAGACAGGGGCCTCAGGGACAATCACCATAATCCCATTAGCTATGGCATCTGTAATCACATTGGCCATAACCCTGTCAATTCCAGGACAACTGAAGTCTGCTCTCAGCGAATATGTGGCCCAGCTGGAGGGTGTGAAATTGCTCAGGAGCACTAAGAGGCTGGGTGCCATCAGGGCCCGGATGCTGGGTGCCACCAGGGCCACAGGGGATGTACTGGTCTTCATGGACACCCACTGCGAGTGCCACCCAGGCTGGCTGGAACCCCTCCTCAGCAGAATAGCTGGTGACAGGTAACTCTCTCCTCCCAGGGTCTGCAGAGCAAGGGATGGCACTGGGGAAATGGTTTGTAGGTTCAGTCACTCACACAGCCAAAGTAGCAGAAGTCTCCATAGCTTGAGAAAGTTCCAGAATCTCTACCCTTAAGGTCTGATTTGTTACTTTGGAGTTTTCAGATGCTTCGTAACAAATCCAGGAAATTAAAGTTGGAAGGAAAGTTAAGGGTCTTCCTGTCCATCTATCTTTTCTATCATAGATATAGAAATGATAAACAGTTCCTATGAAAGTTACAAATATTTGAAATCTTATTAAGTTGCATGGAAGCGCAACTCTACGATATCATCATCACTCTTGGCTTTTGTCAGTAATTTTAATCAAGATTGTAACGTAAACTGGGGATGGGGGATGCTTTTAGCTACCCTATGCCATAGACTTCTCGAACCATCTAAAGGAAGCACTAGATTCTGTGACCACTGAAGTTTCACCAAGAACCAGAACTCCTTGCTTCTCTGGTGTATGCAGGAAGTTTCTGATTTTCCAACTAAAGCCAGTCCTGGAGAGGACTGTACTGAACATCTGTGGTTCAAATTTTTCTTTGGCTGTTTTTCTCCTTTGACTGTTTCTCTCCTTTGACCGTTTCTCTCCTTTGTGATGTCATTTTCTTTCCTATCTCCTTGCTCAACTCAAAATTTTCCTTGAATATGTGCTTTTAACTATTATGTTCAATCTGAATGCCCCACTTTAGAAAGCCAAGACCTGGTGGCTGCCTACCTTGGCTCACGTAGGCATAGCCCTTGGGACTTGAGTAGGCCTATCACACAGTGGGATCTCAATAAATAATTGACGGTGTCCAGCCAGGTGGGGTTGATGCAAGGACACAGCCATATGACATCTATCCTTGCACTTCAATCCATGGTAGAGGTTTACTGCCTCTTTTGAACTTGGGAATAATCATATACATAAGAAAAAAATTCATGAACTTCATTGGAAGGGATTTTGGAGATGTGGGGTTAGCAGATACCAAATGGGGGAGATTTCAGTCAACACAGAGAAAATTGACAGTTTTCAGTGATTCTATTTTAAAGAAGAGTCAGAATTCTAATTCTAAGAAAAGCCAAAACAGACCCGTTTTGACCAGTTCTATTACAGATTACTCCCTATTTTTGGCTCATATCTCATAAGAAAGGGGTGTGTACATAAATTCAGCAGTTCTAGGTCAATAAAATATGCAAACTCTGCAAAGGTGCCATGTCTGATTCTTTTCCAAATGAAGCCAATGTGTTTCGCTATGAGTAGACTCTAAAACTGTCTCGCTTATTCACCATTTAATTCTCATCTTGTAATCACAGATGGATGGCTCTCACAGAGACTTTGGAGGCATTCTGTATCACGTTTTACCACTACCCCTGAGTTCCAGGGATAGTGAAGAGACCTCCACACAGTCACTTCGTCACTGGAAGCTGAGCTGTATTCTATGCTTCCTTCATTTTTACGAATCTGGCAATTAATGTTACTGAGTCTTACATATGGGTAGCCCTAGCAGATTTCTTTAAAACGCAGTCTTCAGCGTCCTCAGCCTTTGCTCTGTGAGATGGCTCAGACAGGTATTTTGCTTCTGTTTCTCACAGGAAGAAACTGAAGCTCAGAGTTGAGATGACATGCAAGGGTACACAGAGAATCACAGGTGGCTGAGCACGGTTTTCTCACTCTCAGTCCAATGCTCTTTTTACTGTGTAGGACCTTTTTTAAAAATTGGACAAGTTGGTCAGGAAGAAACACTGAGTCATCCTCACCTTCCAGCACAGTCGCAGGACATATGTTGAAGCACTGAAGTGAGTCTCGTGTCTGCTTCTCACATTGGTGCAATTCCACAGATATGGAGACTCCTTCCTCTAGGCTGAAGGAGAGTCAGTGTCCTTGGCTATGAAGAAATGCTGCTCCCTGAGAAGCCTTCAGTGACTAGGAAGAAATTCTAATTTCTCGTGCCCTCCCACCCCTTTCCCAAGCCTTTCTCCCCGTTCTCTCTCCCTCACCCACCCCCTCCCCCCTCAATCTGTCATTTTCACAGACACGCACATGCGCACTGAGTCTTTGATCCTCTCTTTTTTTTCATCCTCCTCACACCTTCTTCATGGCTTCCTGCCCCTTCGTTTCTTCCATCTTCCCCACCCACTTGTGTGGCCCTTGACAAGGAGGACCTAAAAGAAAAACTACCTGTCTAGAATCTGAGTTCTTTCTCATCTCTGTCCTCTTCATACGGCAATGCCTTCTGTGCTGTAGCGTGACAGTGTGATGTCCCTGTTATGGTTAGCCCTGCTTGCCTGGGGACTTGGCCCAGATGGCTCTTCTGACTTCCCAAGGCAACTTTCCTCAGGGAAAGCAAAGGCCTGTAAGCTCTTAGGTTTGGGTGTCCACACTGCTGCTCTTTGAGAGAGAAAAGGAGACACAGCTTCTCAGATGCTCATGTCAAGGGCCATGCTGTCACCAGGTGAGGACCTAGTGCTCAAAAAAGAGGAAAAGCTTTCCTTAAAAAGGTGGAGGAGGAATAGTGAAGGAACAGTGTAGCAAGCCACCAACTGGCTATTTCAAAGAATCATATCTTTCTTTACACTCTAGTCAGATAATTCTGAGCCTGGTTACCGGCCTCGGTGTCTTGATCCTCCCTGCAGAACAGGACAAATCTGCCACTGGTGATGTGGTAACACTCAATGTTTTGTTTGAATTTTTTGGACCTCAACCCCTTTATTCCTATTCCTCAGAAAATTTGTCATAATATATTTACTTTATTGGAATAACACATCTTACTGCTAAATTTCAGAAGTTATAAAAATGAAAATGAAAATTTAGAGTGTCTATAATATTAGAGATATTCTCTAAGGTTGAGTAGAGCACAATCCCATGACTATACATAACAACCCTAGACAAAGTTCTTCTATGAGCAATCGATTTCAGGAAAGTCCAGGAAGATGCTATGGACAGAGTCAAATGTAACTAATGAAAATCCAGAGTATCTCTCCCAAACAGCTCTCAATGTTCTGCACTGACTCTTGGTTCTCAAGCCCATGCCAAGCAGTAGAGAAAAAAAAAAAAAGAAAAAGGAAACCTTTAAAGAAGAAAGAGACCTGTTTAGGAGGGGCTAAATGATGAAATCTTTTCAAGAGGCTGGACAAGTTGTCTCCCAGCTGCAGATAGGACTGGTCCCAATACGAGAGATACTGAATCCTATTCAGCCAGGACTGATCCTACTCAGTAGGGAGAAGCAAGGAGGGGAAGGAAACAGAGCTTTCCCCTCCTCTCTGCCCTCAAGGAGTTAAATACTGGAGCACAGCCTGAGAATCTCAAGTGTGCATGTGTGAGTGAGAAGCAGAGAGTGTGTCTGTTAGTATGTGTGCATGTGTGTGAGTATGAGTACAGATGTGTGTGTGTGTGTGTGTGTGTGTGTGTGTGTGTGTGTGTGTGTGCTGAGGAGTTCTCTCCCTCAGAGGGAATAGCTTCCTTTGGGTTTGGTGCCCCAAGGAAGCTCTCAGCCCCCATCTTCCTTCACATTTCTCAAGAATAAGTTCTCTCATTTGTCCCTAGAAAAGTTTGTACCAATCCCAGCATCACAAAAACTCTGGGAAGAGAGAATTCAGGCCTTTCCTCATCTCAGCATAGGAACCTTTCTACAGACACCAGGAATATTCACATGCTTTTAAAATGGCGTTCATACAACAGACCTCGAGGAACACTGAGGCCCAGGAAAAACAGAGACAATATAAAGTAGGGCTATTCATTACTGTGGTAAAACGTTTGGTTGGGGAGATGAAACTGCAGTTAGCTTTTGAATATCTGGATAGCTGTGTATTGAGTTACCTCAAATACTTCAGTTAATTAGTCTTTGTTGACAGCTGAACTGCCTCTGAATTTCTTTGACTTCCAGGAACTTGGCAAGGCCTCCCAGAGGATCAGCCTTGTACCCGACTGGGAGTTCAAACTCTGCTCACAAATGAGAGAATGGTGGAGTGAGCAGACGCTGCCAGCTCCTTCCAAATAAAACAGGGTCCCTTTGCTGCTCGGCTTTAAGTGAATTCCAAGGACATCAGACACATTCATAGGTACAAAAACAAAGCTAAATATAGCACTATGGGGTTTAAAATTTTGATTAACTACCCTTCTTGAGTCACTAGACTGCAGTTACTCACTAATTTAGTCCTAATTAAACAGCCACTATGGCCCATGGGACTAAAACCAAAACAAAAATAGCTCTCCCTCACTGACACTTTATTCTTCATTTCTCTCCAAAACGTGCTCAGAATGCTCAAGATTAACTAGTATATAGCCACTCAAAATAGAGGAAAAAGGAAATTTCAGAAAGGAAAACAGGTTTTTGGAAATCCAATAATGCATTAATTAGAAGTGAACTTTATATATGACTTTGAGCTTCCAGCAAAATATATATATACATATATATATATATACACACATATACATATATCATAGCTATATCATATCTATATCATATATATGTGACAAATTTTAGAGTTTTCATCTTCTGATAAAGATGCATGTATGCCTATGTCAACTACAAAGATCTAGGGAAAACTGATGGTATGAATGCTTGAATGTGATTTGCTTTCTTGTCCTTTAGCGATTGATGAAGACAGCACAAATTCGATGCAATTCTTCAGAATTCAGCCACACACTGTTCATGTCTCTCTATTCTGAATTCCACAACATGCTTTGTAAATAGTCAGATGGATTCCATCTCCCCAATTTGTTCCCCCTAAGTGGAGACTTAGGAGGGGGTTTGAGTGCCTTCTTTCTTTCCATTCTTGCTTCAGTTGGTCAACATAGGTACTGCAAAATCAAAGAGACCCAGGAGGGACTGAGTTCCCCTTGCCTTCCAGTGGAATCGTAGGTAAAGGGCAAGGGAAGGACATCAGGATCTTCTTTCTAAATGTGGATTTCAGAACTCCCCAAATCAGCATTCACTTAAACCCATGGGATAAAGCAGGCCCTGGCCCTGTCTATTTGATTTGGGTTTGCTTTAGCCTGCATATCTTCAAGATGGATAGAGCAGCGATGGTATTAATATGCATATAGCTCCTTTCAGAAATCTCACTTCTCTAAGAGTATTACCTTTAGCTGCCCCTGAGTTCAGGCTAGCCTCATTCTGTAGCACAGATATTAGGAGTTCCTGGTGTAAGGGACTAAAATAAAAATATGACTGAGGTATTAGGTGGTAGAGAGCAAGTCCTGGGACACCTGAGTGATTACTTGCTTCATTGATAGGTAAAGTTTCAATCCTGTGCCATTTTTCCCCTCACTCACTCTGAGATCATATTTGCCAGGCTGTTCAAAAAAAACAGAATTAAGTATAATCTCTAACAGCATCAGGAAATGAGCAAATAAACCTAGATTTAGAATTTGTTGTTTTTGTTTTGTTTTTGACCTTGTACTGCATTATCACCAGCTATACTTCTAGGCTTGACAATCCTGACTTCTCAAATCAGTCAAGTTTTTTGATCCAGGGAGAAACAGGAACCAGACTCTAAAGTAGGAATCCATAGGCCATATGACATTATGCACAATATTTTTGTACATGAGTGTATGAATATTTTCTCAAGAGAGGGCCATCATTTTACCTGACTCTCAAAAATGAAATAAAATGAAAATGAAGTAGGAGGATCAGCCTGAGTTCCATAGTGAGACCTATCTCAAAAATATAGATAGGAAATAGATAGATAGATAGATAGATAGATAGATAACAAATAAATAGAGAATAAGAGCCACAATCCTGGAGCATTATAGTTAAGATAAACCTTTGTGAGAAGTAGTTCAGTCTCTCACTTTACAAATGAAGAATCTGAGGCCCAGAAAGGTATAATTGCTATCTAGAGGTCACAAGGTCACACAGCTCATTAGTGGCAAGCTGAGTCTGGAACCCCATTTCTTTGCCTCTCATGCTATCATGAAATGTTTAAAGAAGGAAAAGAGCGGGTATATTCTTTAGTGAAAAGGGTACCAATTCCTTATGGAAAATATAATTTCTAGGACAGTGATATACAACAGAAGTATACCATGAGTCACATGTATAATTTAAAAGTTAATAGTCACAACACAAAATAAAAAGAAGCAGATGTTATTAATTTTCAAATATATTTTAGTAAACCCAATATATCCAAAATATCATCTGAACATGCATTCAGTATATAAAAATTATTGAGATATTTTTGAGGACTTCATTTCATACAAAGTCTTCTAAGTTCAATGTGTATTTTACACTTACACCACATCCTAATTCAAGCAAAGCACATTTTAGGTGCCTAATAGATATGAGCATGCTGGTGGCAGCCATGATGGACATCACATGTATAAATTTTATTTCATCTCCAGCAATTAATTGAATGACTTGTATCCTTTGATTTCTCAATTCTTCCCAGGAGTCGTGTGGTATCTCCAGTCATAGATATAATTGACTGGAAGACTTTCCAATATTATCCGTCCAAGGGGCTGCAGCATGGAGTATTAGACTGGAAGCTGGATTTCTTCTGGGAGCCTTTGCCAGAGCATGAACGGATAGCCCTCCCGTCCCCCATCAGCCCTATCAGGTGAGTCTGGGGAGCCAGCCTGCCCTGCTTACGGCACCACACTTCTCTCACATGTTCCCTCTTTAGTGAAATGACAGTAATAATAGCACCTACTTTGTAGGGTTGTTGTGAAAACTGAAAGCATTAATGTATGAATAGCATTTTTAGGACTCCAGGCACTCAGAGTTGGGTGTTATTATCTTTGTTAGGTCAATGAAATCAGTGAGTTTTCCCAGTTTCAGTGGATGTCCCATTGTGGGAAAGAGGAGAAACTGAGCCAGATCCTGATCCAGCGCCCTCGCCAGGTAACAAAGTCATACCATGAGTCATATGTGTAATTTAAAATATTTGGCCACAAGTTTGTTCAGCTAAAAGGCAGAATTTAGCTGGAAGAATGCTAGGGCACCATAAGTCTCAAAATACATCCAGTCTTACTGGTCACTGCTCACAAACTTTGTTTGTGAACAGTTATTTAAGAAGATGTTCTAGATATCTTCTGTCAAATAGCAAACCATCTCAAACTGAGTGAAGAAAAATCAGTTCTTTTTTTGAATTCTCAGGTTCTATGGTTAACAGATTCTGAAAGGGCACAGCAGCGTTCATTGACTCTGTCTCCAGTGTCTGGGGCACATGCAGATTAAGTAGATTCCCCCAACATTACAAAGCTGATGAAAGGTAGATCTAGAGTTAAAACCAGGTCTACCACGTCCTGAGACTGCTTTCTTTGCTGCCATGCTATATTGTATTGCAAATACAAGTACATAGTTCACTATCCACAATCACAAAATCTAAAGAGCTCTGAAAAACAAGCACTTTTTTCATAATTCATTAGGCAGAAGACACTGCCCTGAACTGAGATGGGCCTCTACAGAGGCCTCATTTATCTCACATACTGTGAATATTCTTGTTTCATTGCATATGCTTTAACTAAAGAATGCTGCCCAGATGCCACCTGGACTGATATGCAATGAACACGGTGGGCTTCCTTTTACAATTCAGAATCTTCAGAATTTAAAAACCATACTTGCCCCCTGAGTTTCAGAGCAGGAATAGTGAACCCACAACCCCAAAGTTGAGTGCACATTTCAAATGTGACAAGCACGATGCTGTGAACTTTTTATGACTTATAATTTCTACAAATACCAACTATGAACTATTATTTTATTCCAATTGGAGATGAGGAAATTGAGCTCAGAGAATCAGAGAAGCCACATACCTCACACCCACGAAGTGGGTGGTAGAGCTGGAAATTTGTAAACTAATTTTTAATATGAATTTCCAGTATTCTAGTATAATTTGGTATTTTTAGTAATCTAAAGACCTTATTAAAACAATACTATTCCACTGGTAATTTAAAAACTTGTACTCTGAGTCACTTACATCTTGAGACATACCCAGAGTTTGGTTGCATTAGAATTTGTTTCTGAAGGGACTGTTCAAAACACTTTTGGCTACATTTCTCTGTACAAAGCTCTTCTGGGGGATAGTATTGTCATCCTAATTTCCTTAGTTAGGGTTTCTAGTTTGTTTTGATTATAAGTCACAAATATTTCTGCCACAGTAGGGGGAGACCTGTCTACTTCCAGAGTCCCTGGAGGATTAATCTTAGAGTTGGCAAGAAGGAAGATGATGATTTCTTAAGAAAATAGAAGAGGTTGAGGGAAGAGAGAAGAAAAACATATTGATTGTGTCCTTCTGCCTGGCCTAGAGCTGCCTCTATAGAGTGTCTCATTTTACCCGAAGCCCCCAGAGGGTCTGGAAGCATGGCGTCTATTCCCGGGTCCTCTCTACGGGGCAATGCCTGAGTAGAGGTTAAAAGACCCAGGTAACCTTAGTTCTATTTTCATGAAACACTTGGATTGCTAACAATGTTGCTTTGCTCCAGTCTTGCAATTAAAGATGTTGAAGTCCATCTAAGCCTAAAGTCCGCCCTGTCAACCACTGGAACTACCATAGCCTCCTACTGTGCCTGCCATATTCCACGTTCTGAACCGCAGTCTCTTGTTTATCTTCTCTGTCCAGGAGCCCAGTAGTGCCTGGAGAGGTAGTGGCCTTGGACAGACGTTACTTCCAAAACATTGGAGCTTATGACCCTCTCATGTCGCTGAGGGGTGGTGAAAACCTCGAATTATCCTTCAAGGTATGTCCTGAACCAAGGAAGGACACAGGTAGGATTTCTGCCCTAGAGTGCATGGTCACAACCTGAAAGCAGCCATCAGAAACACCATGGGTAGGGGCTGAGGCTGTGGGTAAATCATAAAGTCATTGCAATGAGGTGGGTCCCCTATCCTATCTACTTCCCTTCAACTCTCTGGTGCTGTACCTTGATTTTACTCTTGTTGCACCTCATGAACTTTACTTTCAAAATGTGCTGTTAGGCAAGGTATGCTGGTGCCTGCCTATGGTCCAGGACTTGGGACGCTAAGGTAGGACTGTAAGTTCCAAGCCAGCTTGGGCTACATAGTGAGTTCAAGGCCAGCCTGACCTACATAGTAAGACTGTGTCTCAAAGAAAGAAAGGAAAGGGAAAGGAAGGGAGGATGGGAGGGAAGGAAGGGAAAGAAGAGCAAAGCTGCCATCAGATGTATACCTTTAGCATTTACACCTCAGAGCAGATTCCAGAGCTTCTCAAGCACTCTCTGTTCCTAGAACCCTTGGTCAGTATCTCAGTAATCTTTTAACATCTATAGGCCAAACAACTGCCAAACTATTCTGGGTATTGACAAATGTAGCCCAAATAAGCATTTATCCTAACGACTTAGCACATACAGGACATTGTTCTACTTCTAAACCTTGGAATCAGATAGGATACCCACTACCCCTATCTTCTGTTCCACGTTGATTTTATCATCACAGAAACTTCTAAAACCCTAACCCAGCAAAGACATTCATCATCAAAAGTGTACAGAGCTAGTTAATGTTCAAGTATAAATTACATCAGTATTGTAGTTTGCACGACGGCCAACAGATGTCACTGTTATGTTAAAAACAAACAAACAAAAAACAACCCTGGTGCTTTTTGAGTTGTCTGAGGCACCCTAGGGAACCTTAGTCTTGGTTTCCTTCAGTTTATACGCTGCCTTTCTTAGCACTGTTTTCATTTTAGCCTCTGTCGCCACATATGGGCAAAAAGATTCCTGTCAAATGAACGTTGGGCATTCATTGATGGAAAGGATTGGTGGGGAGCAGAGAGGACCCTCTTGAGGTCATGAAGGCTCTTTAAAGAAGGCTCACTTTCCTCTCCACCACACACAACTCAGGTGCCTACACAGCATGAGGCTCCCCAGGCTTTTAGAAAGTCCCTTTCTAAAGAAGCCTTCGTCCCTGGGGAAGCACCTTCTAGGGAGTAGGATACTAATGTCCTGTGGGTGTTTCCTCTTAGTGCTGGATCTGCACATGAGGCTCAAAGGTGACACATTTAGGTAGGTCCATGGATGGACCCATCACCCCAGTTCCATCCCAGCATAAATGACTCATTCTTTCCATCTTGCCATTCCCCTACCCAAACTCCCAGATCTGAAAACACCCTAAAGATTCTAATCACAGTGGTTATTTTGTGCTTATGATTTCCTGTGCCAGACCTCATGGACAGGGTCCTTTCCTTGTGATTGTTCTAGGAAGTAGAAGTAAAGTCATTTACCTTCTCTTTTCATGGCAGGCCTGGCTCTGTGGAGGCTCTGTTGAAATCCTCCCCTGCTCACGAGTGGGGCATGTCTACCGAAATCAGGAAGCACGCTCTCCCCTTGAGCAGGAGGCCATTCTGAGGAACAAGGTCCTCATTGCTGAGACTTGGCTGGGGTCATTCAAAGAAGTTTTCTACAGGCACAACCCAGAGGCCTTCACCTTGAACAAGGTAAAGAGAGAGATAGGTGGGGGTTTTTGTGCCCCATGTGGGATCACCAGCTGGAAGCTCGGTCAGGCAGGAATTCCTTCCTACATGGAGGAAAAAATGGAAGCTTCTGGCTTAAGCTTCCTTGAGTTATCCCCTCTCAAGTGGCTGCTTAGTATCAAAATGTCACAATCAACCTTGGTCTAGAACTCCCTAGTGTCTATAGAAAGGCATCTATAGGGTACCCCCTTTTGCCACAGGTCCAAAGGAGAGACAGGGCATGGATAAGCAGAGGGGCAGGTCCCTAAGGGTTCAAGGGTATAGGATGACCTAACACACAAAACAAATACAAATATAAAATACACAGACTAAAAAAGCCACAAAAAAAGTAAATTTCTAAATGTGTAACTAAATAATCACAAAATACATCATCAGTCCATCAGTTCTTATAGACACATAAATGGTGCTTGCTGTATTAGAAATGGAGGCTCCAAAGGAAACATTCGCAGGACCCACAGTGGTCCTGGAATAGCTCCTGCAAACCACTTGCCAGCCAGTGCTGCCACGTGTGAGCTGGCTGGGAGGTCACGCGCCATGGGTGAAGCTGGGCCTATCAAAGATGTGACAGACTTTCTCAGCATGCAGGGAAGTCTGACAGGGCTTGGAATTCCTTCTTGGTCCTCACAATTTGCTCCTTCCCTTCTAGATCCACTTCCTTCCCTTCTGCAGAACAACCTCACTGCCTGAAGTATTTGGGTTTCTTGAACTCCAAGGTTGTTTATTTAACTGGAGAAAAGTGTTATGCACAAAGTCTCAGTTCACTCCCAAGGTCTAGACAGGCTAAAGGACTTTTTTCATTCCCAGAGACAAAGTTGTATAGGCTTGGAGAATGGTTTTTTTAGATATATGATCCTGAAGTTACTTAATCACTCAGTACTTCCACTTCATCACTTACTGAGCACTCCTTATTGTCAGGATGACTTACTAAGTTAATATATCCAAAACACTTAAAAGTGTTCAGAGCACTGGGTAAACTCTGCCTGGCTGTTTTCCACTAATAGTCAACAAAGTAGCAGAAGTCTCCATAGCTTGAGAACTCACTATGTACCTCAGGCTGGCCTCAACTTGTGGCAATCCTCAACTTGTGGCAATCCTCCTGCCTCAGCCTTCCTTGTACTGGGATTATAGGTGTTGCTTAATGTTGATATAGACTTCATTTCTAAAAAACTCTTAAAGAAATGATAAATATAGGAAAACTTCTGATGAACTGAGCTGACCTGCTCACTAGAACATAGTACATTGCATCAAATCAGCCTAATTCAACAACATGTAAATTATTCACAGTCTTTCAACCTTCTCCCCACAAAAGTTGTTTGTGCAATTCAAAGTGCCTTAAAATATGCATTTGGTTCCAGGAAAATTCAGAAGTTGGGAACTGACCTAATGCTAGCTGTTTCAGAGCCTGATCAGCCCTCTTTTGAGAAAATTGTTTGTCTAGTTGGTGGTTCAGGGACTTTAAGGTACTCAGTGGTGTTCACCCAAGCCTTTCATTCCATAAAATAAAAAATTGAGGCCTCATAAGATGGGCCAAAGAGAAGCAAGGAGATAGCCAAAAAACAGACCTAAAGGGGAACTAGCTTATATTTTGCCTCCCAGCTTCCTAAAACCTGGAAACACAAATCCTCAAGTTTCATACTACCCCTTTCTGGGAATAGCAGGTAAAACATCTCTTTGTGATTCTGACTTTGTAGGAGGCAGCAATGTGGTTTTGGCATGCAGATGGTTCTCAATAAATGTTTAAGAGATTTACAAGCTTACCAAAGGCAGAGACAGTAGTTATTCTGCTTATTGCTAAAATCCCCAATGTTTGGTTCAATTTCAGGTACACAGGAGGTACTTTCCAAATATCCATTGATGGAGCAAGTGAATGATATTAAAAATATGGTTAGACTAAAGCTAAGCTTCGGTTCTCACCATTAGAAGCTAGTGACTCTGAGAAAGTAGTTTAGGACACAAAGAAATGAAAAAGGGTGCTTTGGAGAATATAAAAAATCAACTACATACTAGGCTTAAAAGGACTTAAGAGCATAGCACCTCTCTCTCTCTCTCTCTCTCTCTCTCTCTCTCTCTCTCTCTCTCTCTCTCTGCCTGTCTCACACAGACACATACACAATTAATATTTTGGAAATGTCTTATCATTTAGTTTGATTTCAAGATTTCAGTGTCATCCCTGCCACCCTGAATATATTGCCTGAAATTTAACTATCCAAAAATTGGCTTTGTTCAAAAGATTTTTAACCTTTCCAAGATCTCACATAGATTTTGAGATACACAAATCCTGATGAATACAAACAAGCACCTTTGAAGTCCCCTAGTCACCAACTAGACAAGCAAGTAGAATTTTCCCAAAAGCAGGCTGGTCAGACCCTAAAACAGCTAGCATTATGCCAGTTCCCAACTTCTGAAACCACGTGGAACCATGTACGTATTCACAGACACTTTTAACTGCAGAAATACAAGCACAAAAAGGAAGCTGGGGGACTTCACATCTCTCCCAGGCATAGCTGTGCTGTTAGGGAAGTAGTTCCATGTTGTTTTAGGTCACAGAGACCTTAAAACCTGGGTATATTTGTTAGTCTCATCATCAAGAAAGGTGAAGGTAAAGAAAAGAAAGGAAAGGAAAGGAGAAAAGAAAAAAGAAAAGAGAAGAGAAGAAAAGAAAAAAGAAAAGAAGATGTTAGAGCTCACACGAAGGCATGTCCCTTGCTTTGGTAACGAAGTCCAACACTGAGGATGGACTGGCGAGACTGTAAATAAACACTGATAATGCCAAGAAACCATCAAATAACAAAATGAAACAGAAACTTCATGCCAGTTTCCTCAGAGGAAAAATAGATCTCTTTGGCTTAATGGTGTGTGCATATGTGAAATAAAGAAGAAATTCTGGACTTGAAGTTATTCTCAAAGTATCTGTGGAAAAGACTAGGAATGGTTAAAATATAGATTGTAGGGCATCTGGGTCCATACATCTGGGTCTCAGTCTCTGGGGCAAGGTATAGGCAGGTGCTCGAGGAGCTCACTGTGAGGAGCATAGCAAGGGATGTCCGTGTAACACACTCAGACCTACTCTTCCCAGCATTTCCATCTGAGGACTAAGAGACCATAAAGGCAGTATCTTTTGGCCAGGTGAGGAGAGGCCATCAAGATGAACCCTGACATAGATATCTCTCCTCTTCTCATGTCAGGGGCTTTGGCCATTTCAGCCCTTCCTTGGACCTGTCCCTTTCCTAAAAATACTCAGAACTTCAAAGTGAGCTTTTGAGTAGCATTCTTTGCATTTTGGCAAGATAGGCAAAACATTAATTTTTACTAGTGATAGCAAATTGCCTTGATGTCCATCTGAATATAGCTATATATATATATTTGGGGGGGGGGGAACAAAGGCTTTATTTAGGCCAGGTCTGGCGATGAGTCTCTGGGAGCCAATTTGGAGACTGTGCGCCAGAAACTGAAGGAAGGGCTTTAAAAAGAGTCCAGAGGAAAAGGCGGGGGAGAAACAAAAGAAACCCACAGAGCCGTTAAACTGTTCACCCAAATCTGGAAACTGTAAAAAGCTGTCCACTTAGTTCTGACAACCTCGGGAGCCTTTGGCGCCTTTCAAGTTACTCCCATCCTACAGATAAGCATTACCTTGGAATAGCACATCTACAACAACATTTGGAGAAGAAAGTAGAAAGTTAATTATCTCAGGACAGCTCGTTAACACTAACAGGTAGGAAGGGGTCGAAAGTTACAAGAAGCTGAAACTTAAGTTTTTACAAGGATTTGGGACTTAACCCTTTTGGTGCATTAGGGTTAAGCCACAACATTTTCCTGTAATTTCTTTGAAGCTAAGACCACCACCGGGTTGGGAAGGGGTCACCAGAAACCCAAAGTCTTTATGGCCTTTCAGGAAATTGAAACTTAGCCTAGATAGATAGGTAGGGGAAAGGGGAGGCAGTACAATGCTTAACAGAACAGAAAATATGGCAAGATTACATTCTTGGGGAGAGCAAGGTCAGGTAAGGGTTGTGCTAACAAGCAAGTCTCCCTGCATACAAGCAAGTTATAAGTTTAAATCAGGGAAACATCCTGGTTTTCCTCAGCAGAGAATGGGGAAGCCTAGGAGTAATTAACAACTCCTGTTAGCTTATCTTAGCACCGCATCTGTTATTTGTAGAGGGCAACAATGGTTAACATATCAAGTGTATGTGTTTTCCTTTTCCCTCCGGATGACCTAATTGATATGTTAATCAGTGCTCTTCTCTGTAAAGAATATAGCTATATTATAAAGGAGAATGTCAAGGTGAAGGGCTACTGGAGCCAAACAAATGATTCATTAACAGAGGAAGTTTGGCACTAGAGAAAAGGAAAGATTACTCTTGCCTCACTTGTTCATTACCCCTACAATTTCCCAAGTCACTTCATCTCAGCAGCTTCTGGGCTGGTTCCTGTCTCCATGAGGACATCCAGGTTCTGCACCACGTGGTGCACCCCTATAATTTAAGCACTCTGGGAGGCTGAGGCAGTAGGATCCTAAGTTTGAGCCTGGGAACTTAGCAAGACCCTATGGCGGGAGAGGGAGGTGTGAAGAGGGGGCTATAACTCAGTGTGAAAGCCTTGGGTTCAGACCTCAGGATGAAAAAACAACAAAAATTTGTAAAATTTATAAAATGAAGTTCTACATCACCCAAACCCAGGTTCAAAGCCCCACTGTTTCCCCAGCTTCCCCAGAAGTCTTGAAAGCACACACATCATGGTCCTTGTAGATAAGATCTAGGAGCCTTTGAGAGGAGGTTATAACCCAGTTGTGCTTATGCCACCTTTTTCTCCAAGGAAGACTTGTCCTACACTGTCTCTTCCAAATCTCTTTCCCCAACTCATGACCCTCCCCCATGTCTGCAAGCCCTGGGAACTGTGATCTTGTGCACATCACTCTCCTAATCTTTTGGTTCTTCCTAACTACCCTGTCACTCCTATACTGCTTAGATTTTGGAGTAAAACCAGTTTCCAACACCTCACCGCTGATGTCCTTCTCCTTCTCCAGGCTGAGAAGCCAGACTGCACAGAGCGCTTGCAGCTGCAAAGCAGACTGGGATGTCGGACCTTCCACTGGTTTCTGGCCAATATCTATCCCAGAATGTACCCATCTGAACACAGACCTAAATTCTCCGGAAAGGCAAGGCATGACTCAGGGATGACTGGAAGGAAGGATGGGAGAGGGAAGCCTACCAAGACAATAACTTACATTCAAATGCTCTTGCTTTACCTTGGTCAACCAATCATGAGCTCAGAAGGGCCTCAGAAGCCTTTGACCCAGCCCTAACTCCATACTGGCCAGAAGGAGATGGCTAGATTGCCCTAACCCAGAGTTTCTCAGCAAGATAAGTGTGACTTGTTTCCTTCAGGAGATTTGTCCCTTAAAATCAGTGACTTAAGTTTAACACCACTCATCATGACCTGAGCGGTACACCTGGGACTACACTCCAAGGAGTAAAGAAAAATGGTGCCTGACCCAGGGTGTCCTTACTGTGGAGTTCATGAATGTTGGGATTCACTTCTGTGTGCATGTCTACTTTCAGCTCCACAACTCTGGGCTTGGCCTCTGTGCAGACTGCCAAGCAGAAAGGGGCTTCCTGGGCTGTCCCATGACACTGGCTCCTTGCAATGACAGTAGGAAGCAACAGGTAGGTGATTATACTTCTCAGCACAGATAAAAGTCCAGGAAGCTTTGCAAATGGGTGCCATTTTTCTGTGCTATACTCCAGTTCTCTTTGCTGTATCTCCTTTCTGTGGCTCCATAGTTCCCCATCATGATAATTTGTTACAGCTCCGCACACCTCACCCCCATTTAAACCATACATATGGGTCAGAACCAAAGAATGGAGCATTTAGACAGTAATTGGGAAGATGTTTAGTCAGCTCTTTCATTTGACAGATGAAGAAACTGAGGCACAGAATCACTAGCTCAGCTATTGCCAATCGATGCCTGTAGAACTGAGTGAGGCAAGGTCCAAGGATCTGAGGAGAGAAGAAGAAAGTAACTGAAGGATATAGATGCAGCAGGGTCATTCTCATATCCAACTAGGTCCCTTGGTCATTAGAATGTTCTGTATCTTAGAGTACTTCTTGTGCTCTTCGAAATTTCCATCATGGCTATAACTGCTGAGGTGGTAGAAAGCCTCCTTTGATGCTAGCCAAGTAGGGAGTTGAAGAAGTGGTGGGTCTACTTCTTTTCACAACTCCGTTAAAAACTTATAAAAGTGAAATCTGCCCCCAAATCTCTATTCTTTTAGGCTGTGGTAGCAGCCTCTGAGTTAAGCTTTCATATTCCCCAAACCTCTAATGAAAAAAACAATCTCTAGAGGTTTACCTTGGAGGAGGCAGGTGAGGTCTGGAGAACCTGGGGCAAAGGAGGGACCATCTCTTTGAAGGTCCAGGATCCAAGTCTTAGAGAAAGCTGGGCAAGTCTGGGCTTCGCAGTGCAGGGGAGGAGGGGTTCTTCTGACTGTGCCTTTTGCCAGTCTCCCTGAATATTCCTACAGGCATTCAGACCAGACATAAAGGACAAGGACATAAATATAAGGTGCAAAGTGAGAAAGCTAAGAGTAAGTGTAAAAACTGTGCATGCTGTACAGCAGTCACACACAGCTAAGTTTCAACCCAAATTCCTCCATTTGCTAGCTGTCAGATTTCAGCAGGGTTCTTAAGCGCTCCAAATCTCAATTTCTTCATCTGCAAGCAGGAATGGTACAGCCTCCATCATGAAAACACAATTGCTTTTCTTTATTTTTGAGGAAATTAGTGATTCAGCCAAAATGTGAACTAGAGAAACCAAAGGTTTTTCTCTAAAAACATCTGATAGGATGCGCTGGGAAAGGAATATGAAGTGACCTTTTTTTCATTCTTAGGTAATTGAGTCTGCGTGACAGAAAGTAAGATCTCCAGGGTTCAAGAGGCAGTCAAAACTAGAGTCAAAACCAGTGTCAGGCAGAGATAGTTGCCATCACCATCAGTAATCCACACTGGCTCCCTGCAGGGACAGGCAGAGAGCTTGCCCTCAGCCAGGAGATGTGAGAAGCCAGAAATGAGACTCGCTTGTAAAGCCAGCTTTGACTATCAGCAAGTAAGCTGTCCTTGACACTCTGAACTAGAAATATCGACTTACTGCCACAGGAAATGGCAACTGAAAAGCCTGTCTGAATAAGGGTTAAGTAGGAAAAAAAGTTAGTGTCCCCTGAAAACTGTCTACAAGTTTGCCTTCAAAATGTGTTTAGGGTCAAAATTTATACTAATTGTGCAGTTTGGGAATCTTTGAGTAGGGCAGGCTGCTTAATTTGTATATCTCAGTATAAAATAAGAAATGTGCAATCTTTAATTGGATAATTAATAATTTTAAGGCAGTGACAGCAGAGCATTAAGTCAAGTTTATTGAAACAAAAGCATTAAACCTTTCTAAACATGAGACCCTGTGTGGCTGCCAGGTTGCTGTCCATGAAACCAATCTTATCTCTAAGCTGCAACTTTAATGTAAAGTCAGTTCAGGTTCCATCTGTCAGGAACAAAGAACAAATGGCTTTGCAGGACATGACTTCCAATTAGTCTGCACAGGCTAAACCCCTCTCCAAACCCAGTACTGCAAAACCCTGAAGAGACAATAAACCATGAGCAAGGGTCAGCAGATAACCAGTTGCAACAGGAAAATAAGTTTTAGAGTAGGTAAGATCTTTCCAGAAAAGATCAGCTTGAGCTTCAGAGACATTCCTCTGCCCTCCCAAAACTATACTTGCAAAATGCACAGCATCCTTCATGCTTTCACCCATCATGCAGTACATAGCATAATGGAGGAGCTTACCCGAATGTATGAATATGAACACAAAATAGCTAGAATCTGAGCACTGGGCTCAGCTTGCAGCATGTTTGTGGTCTTGAGCATCAGGTACAGTCTTGCTGGCTCCTTTAGAACTTAAAGATGGCCCCTAGACCTCAGTTCAGTTGTGAATTCTTCTTGCCTGGTCTCCACTCTGGAGAGGATCTCTTTCTAGCTGTGTTAACCACCACTCTCTCTGCCCTAGCACCTGGAGCACACCGGCAGGAAGGAGATCCACTTTGGCAGCCCACAGCACCTGTGCTTAGATATCAAGAAAGAGCAGGTGGTTCTCCAGAACTGTACTGAGGAAGGCCCTGCCATCCATCAGCAGCACTGGGACTTCCAGGAGGTGAGTGATCCACTCAGGGAGACTCAGTAGTGCTGCTGGTCAAGAACTGCTGGCTGGCTCCCCATTCAGGCCCTTCCAAGACATCAGATATTACTATGAGGCCTATGCCCCTATTGTCAAATTTAGTGGCTTAGTATTAAGACCCTGGAGGAGGTAAAGACAGCTCAGCAGGGATGTTGAGCCAGGAGTATCATGGAATATATTAATTCGCCCTGTTTGTGTGTAGCTCTGATCTTGATTATGACACAGAGGGGTTGGCCTCTTTTTAAAGTCTGTTAGCTTGGATCACACACAGGATGACAGAGAATGTTACAGAAATAGTCAATGATCTTGGTGGTGTGGCTTTAGGAGCAATGAAAGTCTCTGTGTCCACAAAGTTTGGAAAAGATATAAATGTATAGATGTAGATATATAGGTATGTCCTTTTTAATACAAATTGACTGTGAGCATTTCAATATTTTAGCAACATTTTAGATTCTATATCCTTGGGGGAGAGAAATTTTAGATCTTTCCCAGAAATTATGCATTATGGAGAGGAATTCAGAGGTTATAAGTACTCACAAAGAGTGAGCGAGTCCCAGCCACAGGATTGGGCAGTAAAGAATTTGACAGTAATCACGATTGTGTTCATATATAGTTTTTTTCCACCTCGGATTCTTTCTGGGTGGAGTTCAGGCAGTGCTATCCAAACAAATGCACAGATTTTTAAAAAAAATCTTTCTTCACCTTTTGCTTGGGAGAGAAGAGGATAAAATAACTAAGCAGAACTCTGGTGCTCTTAAAGCATACTGTAAAGGAAGAGAATCGCATAATAGAAAATTTAAGCTGACCTCACAATAAAGTTCTGTGGGCTTCAGTGATATGCAAACCCAAGACTCAGGGGCCCATACGTTATCAAAGAAGTCTTCAGAACTCAAGGTGCCTTTCGGGTGATCATGAAGGATCATTCTAAGCAAGGCCAGTGGTTAAGACACACTTTTTAGAAACAGTTTAATATTGTAAAAGAAAAGGGAAGGAGACAGCAAGTTGCAGGGAGGGGGGAAAGAGAGAAAAGGAAGAAGACAAAAAAGAATTAAGGTGTGTTATGTACATGTACCAACTTCCCATGAGAAATATAATCATTATGTACTGCAAACAGGGACTAAAAGAGATAAAGGTTTGGTTTTTTTTGTTTTGTTTTGTTTTGTTTTGTTTTTAGATTAGTAAGGTGCACCTAGCAAATACGAGGCATTCAGAAATAATACTTTAGGGCTGGGGATTTAGCTCAGCGGCATAAGCGCCTGCCTTGCAAGCAGGCAGTCGTGAGTTCGATCCCTGGTACCGATAAAAAGGAAAAAGACAAAAAAAAATGTAGTCAGAAATAATACTTTAAAAAGTATTGCCATCCTGGGTGTTGCAGAGCACACCTGTAATTCCAGCACTTTAGGAGCTGAGACAGGAGTATCACCATGAGTTCAAGGACAGCCTGGGCTACATAGTGAATTCAAGACCACTATGAACTACATAGTGAAACTTGTCTGGAAAAAAAAGGTATTATCACTTCGGCAGATAAGGTAACAAGGTACTGTTCCATAGTGGCACTTTTTATAACAGCCTGACCTGAAAGCAACCCAAATGCCCATGCATGCATAGATAAAATGTGTATACACATTTATTCTAAGTATAATGTATATTATTTAGGCAGGGATAACTCACCTCTTGGAAATAATTTCATACAGTGAAATATTATTCAGTCTTTAAAAGGAAGGATGTTTTGTTACATGTTACAACTTGATTGAATCTTAAGGATGTTTCGCTAGTTGAAAATAAACCAGTCACAAAATGACAAAAACTTATAGGAAGAGTCTAAAGTAGTCATATTCACAGAAACAGGAAGTAGGCTGGTGGTTACCAGGGGCCAGATGAAAGAAGGGAAACTGTTGGTTAGTGGAGAGGATTTTGTACAATGAAAAAGTACCAGAAGTCTGTCTTACAAAAATGCCAGTGTATTTAATACTATTATGTTTTACACTTAAAATGGTTAAGACGATAAGTTTTGTTATGCTTTTACCATAATAAAAGGAAAGAAAGCAGTCTAAGGTACTAATTTATGCTATGACATGGATAATATTGAAAATATTGTACAGAATGAAAGAAGCTGGTCATAAATAGTCATCTGTTCTGTATTTATATGAAGTGTTCAGAATAGGCAAATTCACAGACTCAGGAAACAGGTTAGTGATTGTTAGTGGCCAGAAAGAGGGAGAAATTGGGGAATGACTGCTGATGGGTAGCGAATTTCTTTTTTCAGTGATGAAAATTGCCTGAAATTAGATCACAACTTTGTGAATATACTAAAAATCATGAGTTTGTGTGTTGCAAAGGGGTTATATTATAGTGTATCTCAAAAATAAATAGACAGATTCAGCTTTGATAAGGTTAATTTTATAAGGAAATAAAATTTTTCTTGAAGATGGAACGTTGTGTTCAATATTAAATCTGGTGGGTTTTAAGCAGGCAGCAGTTGTAGTCTCCTGAACATACCTGCTTTAGGCCTTCATTCTTACATACCTCTGTGGATCTCATTCCCCACTGCAACCTGGTGGCTACAGCACTAAATTGCAGGGCTAACAGATCAGATTATGGCCTGCTACATCTTTTTGGAAAGCAGAAATTTACACGTACAGTGATAACAATGGATGTTACAAGTGAAGCATGAAGACTATTTTCTCTCTCTCTCTCTCTCTCTCTCTCTCTCTCTCTCTCTCTCTCTCTCTCTTTCTCTCTCTCTCTCTGGAATTATCCTAACCAAAACTTCCTAATAAATGGCACAGTTACAATAAAGATAACTGAATTAATTATCCCCAAGGTTTGAGTGACAGCCAAATTTTAGAGCTATTTAAATTATATTTTGTATTAACCCCAAATACTACTACTGCTTTCCAGGCCATTTCACACCACCTCTGTTACAGCCTTCACGATCAGCACAAATCTTAAAAAGATCCACCTTTGCTGACTTTCAGAGCTGACCTGACTTTTCTTTCTTCCTTTTTTTCTCCATTCTTTTATTTTACCCCTCATCTCTTTCCAGAATGGAATGATTGTCCACATTATTTCTGGGAAATGCATGGAAGCTATGGTTCAGCAGAACAATAAAGAGTTGTTCTTGAGTCAGTGTGATGGAAAAGCCAGCCAACTATGGCAATTTGATGAAGTCCACCCTGTGGATAAGCGATGAATCCCAATGTCAGAATAAAAAGAGAATTTTGGTTACCACAATTCTGCCCCAACAAAGTTAAAGAGCATTTATATTTCTTGAAGCAGACCCTCCTGTGTGCATCCTCCTGATGAAGAGGGAGGAAGAAAGTTCACTGAAAGAATATGTCTCTCCTTCTCACAGTTTATTTCATTGACTTCTGGAAGCTTTAAAAAAGAAAAAAAAATGGTTCATTATCTCTATCATCAGAGATGATCATCATGCAGCACAGAAAGTCTTCAATTTTTTTTTTCCTATATAACAATTGCTTTTACTTCTGACTAGAGGACGCCTGAACATTGTCAGGCAACCCCCTCCAGGATACATCAATCCAATGGTTGAATATCATTGTCTTCAAGGAGCCTTAACCTGGGTTGTCTATGACTGACCATGAAGAGAATGCAATAGCCTGACTTCTCAAAACCTTTGGATTAGGTTTATTAGGACAAATTTCATGTTCACTAGACGAACCACAAAAAGAAAGGGAAAGAAAGGGAAGATACAGACAGCAATAGAGTATGGTAGGAGATATGATGAAGGAAGTATTGGCCCAACACTCCAGCTCAACCTAGCCAGCTGAAGAATCAATAGACTTGGGATGACATTCTTAGGAGAATTTTCCTCAAAACTTTCTACCTCCATTCACCTAACCTCACCCCTCTCTAGCTTGGCTAACCATAGCCAGATTCTTTTGCCATACATTTCTCTTTAGTCACTGGTGTCAGAAGGATCCACACGATTGAGAATTCTCATTAACAAAGGTATTTACAGTTAATAGACTGTAATAGGCTGTAGGCAGTTAACAGTTCATGATGCTCTGTTACAGGGTACCCATTGAGTTAACAAGAAATAACAACTTTTGCAAGGGAGATGTTAGAGTGTGAGCCATCTCATGAGAGAGAACTGAGTTGGGTCTTAATGTCTATGAGATCAGATAGGGCCATCTGTGACTGTCTAAATGTGTCTCCAGTTTCAGTGTTCACAATTTCAGGAAAAATATACCTTAATTAGAGCAAAACCAAGGTTAGATAAAGCAGAATGGTATTCCTTGTTATCTGGTCCATCTCATTGGCTATAAGAGTTGCTGAGAAGGATTGGTTCTGCTATTGAGAAGATCACAGTCATGCCCATTTCTCTTCCCCTTAAAGATACTGATCTCCTTTGTGCTGTCTCAGAACACAGTATCTTTCAAAAAAAAAACTAGATAGAAAGTGTGGGTTTCCAAATAGTAGCTATCATAATGTTGTATTCATGTTCCATACACCACGTCAGTGGCCCACTGCATTTCTCTGTCCTTGTAATATACCCTAGACCCGTGCTAGCTAATGTGGTAGACATAACCAACTGTGCTATACTGAATGGGAATCCAATACTAGGAAAAATTTAAAGCAATCCCTCAATTGTGCTGACCCTATCTCAAGACCTCAATAGTAGTATGTAGGTGATAGTTGCTGTATGGTAGAGCACAGTATAGTACATTTCACTGTCACAAACCCTCCTATTGCAACAGCATTAGATTCCTATCTAGAGAAGAAATTTTATCCACCATCTTTTTGATTCAAGCCTTTCTATATTTAAACAATTCTTTTAACACAGCAAGGCTGAGATGGAGCTAAAAATTCTCAGATAACAAACTTGTAAAGAGTTTTTGGTGGTTAAACAATAAAAATTAAATAAGACCTCTGTTCTTTAATGAACTTGATTATTGGCATTGTGGGTATTTGAAGTTGTTGGGACAAATTAATATAATTAAATAAAAGGCTGAATTCAATTGTATAAGTTGTATTTGATGATAATTAACCCAGATGGTTTATTGCTTAATTGGTTGAACAAAACAAAAATATAGTATTTCTTGTTTCCCTAACCATTCCCATGATTTATTACTCTATTGCAGAAATGGCTATCAACTCAGTCCCTGGCTGGTGCTTACCGACCCTTAACTTAAACACAACAGATGCCTCCGTTTAGTTTTAAAAGAATTTTCCCCTCACAGTGTAATCAGTATTCAAATTCTCTTCTTCTCTATGGATTCCGCATTCATTTTATCCAGAGGGGTCTGTTTAAAAGCAGAAGAACGTGGCAGTTGAGATATCCGATTCCTGAATTTGATTTCACTTGTCCACCTGAATTTTATGATTAGACTTGTTTGTTGGGATTGAATTTTGTTCTTAGTCTCACCAAGCTCATCACTAATATTAATTATCCCCCTGGGTGGCCAGTAGTTTACAGTTCCATACTCTTTATGCTATTTCACAATAGTATAAGCAGATGTCACTCTCAAGGGGCCCTGATCTATTTGTGTTTTTGTTATTGTTTTATTTTTGGTGTTGTTTGTTTGATGTTTTGGTCGCAGTGCCATAGATCACAGTTTCAATACCACAGACACCAAAAGGTTTACAGGCTCATGGTGATGATTCTGTCACTGCACCAGACCTTGACCTATTGAAAGTTCTACTTTCATGCCCACTTGAAGGGTTCCATTCTCTGCTGACAAACCATTAAAAAGCCATTGGAATACCAAAGGATCTGTGACCAGTAACAAAATTTGGAAAATCAAATGCAAACAACTTATATTCTTCAAAGAGCTCTGAAGGAATAAGCATAAATAATTTAATGCAGTAGGTAGAGTTGTGCAAATACAGTACAAAACATTGACATGAACTGCCTTGAGGAACCGATCTACTTATTATGTACACTATTTATGCTTGTTCTTTAAAAGGCACAACTTGCTGTCTAACGTTTTTAGCCAAAGCCCAAAGTATGTACAGATACACTTTGGTTGTTGAAGGGCTCCAAGCTCGAACTTTCCACTACTCAAACAGCAAAGTTCAAAAACAAAAACACACACACACAAAAAACCTGCTCAGTGTTCATAACTTTGCTTGATAAATTGAACCAAAAATCTGACTTAAAAAAACGGATATGGGCCAAGAGTGAGTCAAGCATTACATCTCATCTTTGACACAAAGGGGAGATGCTTTAGTCTGAGCGTCTCTTGCCCAGAGCACATATAGTGCTTGTGTTAGTGTGTTAAAACATTCTTCATTGTGATTTTTTTGCGCTTCATTTGCATAAAATATCATAATCATGGCTCCAAAACAAAGTTAGTGACACCAACAGTAAAGCTAAGAGGAAAACTGAGAACCATGATAGAGTTAAAGAAGGAAATCATTGCAAAATGCATTGAAGTCCTGAACAAAATGTATTTATAACTAATCTTTGGGCATGAGGATTATTGTATTTTGCATTATTCTTTATGGGAAAAATATGTTCAGCTCCTGAAATTTTCAGGGTTTGAACACAAATTTGGAATGAATTGAGTTCAATAACCAAAGTATCACTGCATAGCCAAAGGAAGCCTGGGCAAGTGAGTTTGAGGTTGTTCAGGGTTACAGAGATGTATTTTCAAAAAAAATTGGACTTGTTGCACATCTGAAAGCTCAGTTACTTGGTAAATTAAGGGAGAAAAACAACAAGCTTAAAACCAGCCCGGGAAATTAGTAGCTTAGTGAGACACTGTCTCAAAATATAAAAAATGGTTAGGAATGTAGCTCTGTAGTAGAGTATCATACTTCAATCCCAAGAAAGAAAGAGAAAGAGAGAGAGAGAGAGAGAGAGAGAGAGAGAGAGAGAGAGAGAGAGAGAGAAGGAAGGAAGGAAGATGGGACAGGCCTGAAATGCCAATCACACCCCCAGGACCCTCTGGGGAGATGACTGACAGGAGTGGGTGCATAAATACTCAGCTTCCTGGCCTCTCCCATGGGATTAACTATTTCCCAGAGTTCATTGTGATAGTAAGTTCTATTAAACTCTGTCATATTTTAAATTTGTCACATTCTCTTCTCTTGACTCTGTTTCCAAAGGCACATAGCCTGTCCCATGGAAAGTTATCCTCTGCAAGAGTCATTTTAGTCATGATTACCCTCTTTTATAGATCAACAGTCTGACTCCAGCTACCCCTGAGTTGAATTTATTCTACCAAAATGCAAAGTCAGAGTATGGGTTTCTTTCTCCTGTGTCTAGGAGAAAGAGACTCAGGAAGGGGCAGTGTGCTTAATCCTTATCCCACGCTAATCAATAACATTAAGACAGCCTTGCTCCTTTCAGGGGAAATGAGAGAAGCCAGAGGTGTTCTACTCATTTATGTCCCCTCTTAAAGAAACCTGAACCCTAAAAAAGCAGGTTCCCCTGGCATCACAAAGTGTTCCTTCTCACATTCTCATTATTTCCCAATGACTTGTACACAATGGTATTAAAGAATATACAGGTATATACCACAGACGCTAGGAGTGGAACACATGATTGCACTTTATGATAAAGGGAGGAGGTTCAGACATAAAGTAGTTAGTGAGAAAGTGATTGGGTCAAACAGTGCTCCCAAGTCCTAAAGAGCGAAGTGGCCAGTGAGGTTTCCTAGTGAGGACAGACCTGGGTTGCCAGAGGCTTAGATGTCGAGGCCTCAGCATAAAGCTGTCAGGCTTATTTCCAATGACCCAAACTTTTAGCCATGACTTCCTGATTTCTGGGGGATGAGAATTGAGGAACAGGGCTGAGCTCTATATCCAGGACAAGTAGGGACAAGAGCAACTGTTCCGGTTGGAAGGTGGATGAGCACCAGTTGTCTGAGTCCCAACAGAATCAGGAACACAAGGGCCACCTTGGCAGTGATATAGGGAAAAACTAACAGGATTCTTGCCACATATACCCCCAAACAGTGACAACCAGGATAAATTTATTTAGGTAAGATCACCTTTAAAAATTACATTAAACTGTAGGCAGAGTGGGGCTGGCAAATTTTCTACACGGGCTAGATAGTAAGTGTTTGACTTTGCAGTCCCTACAGTCTCTGTCGTAACTACTCAACTCTGCCATTGTTGGGCAAAAAAGGCCATGGATAATAATAAATAAATCAGCATGGCTGGGTGTTATTTACAAAAACAGGTAGCTGGCCAAATTTGGCTGACAGCTGCTCTGGACTAGAATATGACTCAGCTGCAGAGGGAGCTGAAGTACAAATTCTTTGAAAATAAACAGAAATATTACAAAAGAAATCATGAATGAAAAATCACTGGATTGTATAATTCAAATATGTGAATTATATCTCTATAAAGTTGTTTTAAAAAGAAATTATGAATGAGATTTAAAAATATAAAAATAACCCATTTTTATCAGTAATAAAAAAGCAAAAATAAAAGAGGGAAAACAAAATGTAGCATATACTCTTATAATAAAAGTAGACTACACTTCATTTCATGAAAAAGTAGGGATAAGCAAACAAATAAAAGTGTTAAAACTTTGACATAGTAGCCCCTTGTCTTCTTTAGGGGATATATGGATTCCAGATTCTTTTAATAGAGGTTAAGTAGAACAAGTTGTCTTAATAAGAGCATCAACAATATTAATAAGAAGGGAGAGTTGCTAAGAAGCAGAGAGTAACTCAGCATTCTACTCTAACCAAAGGGATTAAATTGTGCTAACAGGTAAAATCTGACAATTTAGTTTTTATCATGGTGAAGACGCACATTCCCACCATGCACATGACTCTCTTGCATTTGGGATATAAGGACAATCAGATACAAGCTCTTGTGTGGGCAACAGGAATAACTTCTGTATATTTATATGAACCTTGCCCTCTGGCATTCAGTTTAGCCAGATTTCAAAGCACAAACAGTAGCAGCCAAGCCAAGGAAAAGGACTTCCAACAGTGGGGCTTGAGACCAGTGCTACACAAGGCCAAAATAAACCTTTCGCCTTGTGCTCTGAAACCAATGCTGGCCCATAAAGCATGTTTACCAGCCCAACCCAAAGGTGTCTCCTTCCTATTACACTCCATGTTTGGGACTGCCCAAATTGTCATGCCCTTCTCCAGTGAGGTATTGCTGTATCCATGGCTGCATCTGGACAAAATATACAGCCTAAAACACCTCCCTCTCTTCCAACTCATGGACATCTCCAAAGCAGTCCAAACCCCACCTTCATTTACTTACTGTTGCTCTACTCCCCATTCTGATGATTCCAGTATTATTGTCTAGTAAGCCTTTATCTACATAAGGGACAGGGAGATTTAAAGGTCTGAGTACCAAAGGGGCAGTTTAAGCCTATTGACTTTTTTTTGTCTTTTTCCTTTTTATCGGTACCAGGGTTCGAACTCACGACTGCCTGCTTGCAAGGCAGGCGCTTATGCCGCTGAGCTAAATCCCCATCCCTTAGGCCTATTGACTTTTATCTTAGAGAAATCTTGTTATTAACCTCCCACATTGGTCAGATGCTTGCTATAGTGGAAGGATGAGAACCACTATTCTTCCTGCTTACTGGGAAGTGATTTCCTTCTCCAGTCAGCTCTTTAAGCTCTTTGACTTCTCTCCATGGGAGGCCATGGCACACAGCCCTACGTGGCAGACTGATTTGCTTGGTGATAGAGCACCACCACCTCCTTGAAGTTCTAGTTCTCTGTCCTTGACAGTGACATCCCCTTTCAAAGTTGTTCAGGCAACAGCCTTCCCGACTAGCAGAGCTGCAACACCCTCCAGTCAGCCAGCTGCTTCTTCTGTGGTCCCCTTATCCACATGGCTCTAGACTTACAGGTGAGATCCAGATGAAAATGTGGTACACACTTGCCCTACTGTGTTATTCAGTGTCCCTCAAGGTGAAATTATCTTTCTTTTCTAGGCCTCAGCTTTCTTCAGGAGGGGAGATAAATGAGTAGAACATCTCTTGCTCCTCTCCTCTCACTCACTTCCCCTGAAAGGAGCAAGGTTGTCTTATGTCTTATTGATTAG